AGAGTTTAAGGGGACAAAGGACGTTCTAAATATGTTTCATGAAGTCAAATTTATTCGAAATTTAATTTTTTATTCCCCAAAATAAAGAAAAATTTAAGTGATGTATAGGTAAAAAAAATTTCTAAATAGCGGTGCATTTTAAATATTTTATAAAGAATTCTCCTTGTAGACATGGACATTTAAATGCTTTTAAAGGCATTTAAATAACTGAAACATTATGTTTTCCAGACATTTCTCGCACATTTCAGCCAACGAATTTATTTGACTTTTTACTGTAGGAATGGCAACCGATATATTATTCTTTCCTTGAATGGCAACAGTAGCTGCTTTCAGCTTTGTTTATATTGATCTTATATTTATTTCTTTCAGCCCTTAGTGAAATATGGGGTGCAAGCAAGAAAAAACGTTCGCGGTATCAGAGGCATATTAAAAATTTTTTATCCCGGTCCATAAACATCACTTTTGTCCTTTTAGCCAATAATGCCTGAACAAACAATGAACTAGGTCATCTTGAGGCACATTTGAAGTGAAAAATAATGTATATTATTCAGATTAATTATTTCAACTTTAAGGAAAATTTTAAAAAATAATTAAAGTGTCTATTACTGCTCATAAGAACTTAATCGTTCTTAGCTATTCGCGATTCATCACCATTGATTAATCTGGGGAAAGCCGACTATAGGGGAGAATTAATAAATTCAATATCAGCAAAAATGTTCTAGAAAAAGAGACAAAGACGTTAAAGCCACATAACATACTGTTTGCAGAAGAAGATGAATGAGTGAGGATATTGAAATAAACTTGAAAGCTGAAAACAAAAAAATTTCGGTGCAATGGAGAACCAACTTTTATACTTGAAAAATGTTCTGTAAATCTTAACGCACTACTACTTCAAAGAATTATATAGCTAAAAATTAACCTAGATTAAAAAAAATAATCTTGTATGCAGATGGTGCTCCTAATATATGTGAAAATAAAATAAGCAAAGGGTGATTAAATTGATAAAGGAGAATCCAAATGTTCTGTGCATTGGTTATTCATAGAGAAAACCCGTAGCTAAAACCTTCGCCTGTCTAATGAAGTGCTAATCATTATAAAGTATCAATGCTTAAACTAGGGCAAAGTGAAAGTCTCTTCAGTTATTTCATGAGAACAAATGAGACTAATGAATGTACTTAACTTGAATCTAACTACGAAAGGGAACTCTAGAAGGATTATGGAACTATTGATACTTTATTTTTTACGCCAAATTGAAATTAAAAACTGTTGAGGATGATAAGCAATTGTGAGTTATTTAGCCGATTCTTTAAAAATTAATATATAATAAAAACTCAGGAGCAAAAACTTAAGCAAAAGAAGATATTTGGTTCATTATCTTTGTTGATTATTAACCATAGGTATTTACCAAAAAATTTTGAAAGCTCGTTGGCTCCAAAAATGTGACATGAAACCGCTATACTGTTATGTCGATATCTGAAATTTTATCGGCCATTTAAAAGATTTTGCAATTAAAAAAATTATTTTCCAACTTGATGATGAGCCATGCTCGGTTTGGCTTAGATTTCAAATATGAAGTAAAAGAACTGCAGAAATGAAATGATGATTTAAACTTTATTATATAAAAGGAGGCGACATTGCCTTGGAGGCAACCAGATCAATATCAAAGCAAGAAAATTGCAAGAGAACTAATCCGTTGCATTTTCATATTTGCTGAAGCGATTTAGGCATAAAGATTTGTGTGAGAGATGGAGACTCAGTTACCTAAATTGGAAACTGACATAAAATTTCTTCAGCAAGTATCAAGCGCAAGGCACTCGCTAATTTAATATAAAAAATTACAATCTTAAAAAAAAAACTTCACAAAATGAGTTTTTCTTGAATTCAGTCTCCATGTTTTAAGTTCCTTATGTGTTTGTTCACAAATTTCGTAGTCATTTCTCTAAAAGCTATCATTCAAGTTTCTTTTGTGAAAATTTCAATTTTTAAATGTTAAAAATTATGTATATTCTAGGGGGAGCTTAAAAATTTTAGAGAGGATTAGGTGGGCATAGCACAAAAAAGGTTGAGAAACACTGGTCTAATGTATTATAAAAATCCCACGAGAAAAATAATCATTTCTGTGATATTCTGTGATAGTAATTTACTTCTGGAAAGATGTTGTTTTTCAGTGTAGTAACTACAAGTGAGTGGCAATGAAACTTCAGGGTGCGAGTTAAAAAACCATGCGAGGCTTGGTTATTTGTGTGTAAGTCTTCTTGTCATAAAGCACACTTTAGGCAATAATCTTGATGATGAAAGCCTGATGGGTTAGGTTATTCTTTATGGATTTCTAGCTGACAAGTCAGCATTGAATTACTAATTAAAACTGGAAAGAAATAATCCTTTTGGGGGTGTTTTAAAAGATAGGAATAGATTTTAAAGTGTATCTGTGCCAGATAGATGAAAATTTTCAACCCTTCATAGATATTTTACTGTTTACACTTTATTTTTTAGAAGGAAATGTTTAATAAGTAGCCATTAAAATATGTTTAAATTATTATAAATAATTTTGAACGTTTTAAAAATATTCTTGTGCAATTTTTTCCTTTCCAAAAAATGTTAACTCTCTCTTTTTTGGGAAGGGGCAACTAGAGGATTATTGGATGTGAGCTTATTAATTTAATTATCCATTTGTTTTCTAGGATGGCAACTGTAATGAAACGTCAAAATCAAAGCCTACAGTATCTTGAACAAGTCCGGCAACATTTATCTCGTCTGCCATCCATAGATCCAAACACAAGGACACTTTTAATTTGTGGTTATCCAAATGTTGGGAAATCAAGTTTCATAAATAAGGTTTTTTTTTAAATTTTATTTCTTATTCAATAATTTATTCTGTGAATTGTATTTAAAAAAAAAAACATTGAGGAAAATTTAAACTGATAAGAAGTATATGTACTTTTCCATACATAAAACTATCTGATTTTTTTATAACCAAACTGGAAAGTTGCCATATCAGTTGCTTAAATATGTTATTTAGTACGGCTGTCATTGATAAAAAAATGGGGACATTTTGAATTGATAAATATGTGCTTAAAACAATTCGTTAAACTTTAAAATATATAAATATTGTCATGATTAAATTCAATAAAAGGCTAATCTTAGGAAATCAAAAACTTAAAAAAAAAAAAAAAAAAAAATCAAGTATAAGAAATTAATTTTATAAATGTTCAATTGTTGCAATTACATGACTCAAATTCGTCATTTTTTTACCTTTATGCAAAGCATCATCTTCCATGCTGTAAACTGGATTCTCTAAAACACTTTCTAAGTATGCTAGCAGTGATTTTCTAGAAATGCTCTTCCAACTGTTGTCAATTTTTACACATTCTTTAGGTAGACTAAATAGCCTGTTTGACACATGTATGAATTTCATAAGAATCCAAGATCTGGATGCTAGGAAACCCAGCAATTAGATATTGCTGCACTTAGCTAAACCATGCGTTTACTTAATCACTTGTTTTCATTTATGCATATGGTGATGCTTTTTCGAAATGTCTTCATCAGTGTTTTCTGTTTGAACTCCATGATTAAAGAAATTTATGCCTAACAGCAATGTGTAAACACATGTCTTGCTGATTTTGTGTCCTCTTGATGGGATTTTTTTTTCTTGTGTTGTATAATTTATTGATCTATCAAGATACCAGTCTTCAATTTTTGAGCAAAAGATATACACCTAAGAAACAAAAATTATCATCTCTTGAGTTGAACCCAATGCCATTTTGTTTATAAATTTATTTCTGCTGTGGAGCTATTTTGTTAGCCATGATTAAAAGCAAACTTTTGGTTAACTAGGACAGTTCTGGGCAAAACATCCAACTCCAAATTATGTGTACTTTAACAATGGTTTAAAAAAGTTTATTTTATTCTCAAACTTATTAATAATTATGTTAAATAATGCTTAGTAATAATGAATACTACTTAAAGATCTATTTTATTTTTAGGATGGTATTGCAAAATATAAATTCAGTCATAGAATAATATTTTTGATTTTATTTAGTTCCTATTTGCTCATAAATCCTTAATTTTTTTCATTAATGGTCCTTAAAAGTACTTAATTTCTGTGTGCAGAAATGTGTATGAACCCTGATATTCTAATTCAGTAATCATTATAATAATTAATCAATGGACGTAAACTTACTAGTACATAGGTAAGATAAACTTATTTACCACATGTTTTATAGAAAATTTATGCAATTTGATAGCATATGGCAGGTAGAAAAGAGCATAAATTTCTTTGTTCTTGAGAAATGGTTTGTAATTTTTAAAAATGTATGTGTATTTTTCATAAAGTTAATGCTAATGATCAATTCGTTTTTTTTTAAACGTTTTTACCTTTTGTGTTAGGTCACTTTTTTCTTGATATCTTGCTTGGATATTAATGCACACACAATTTTTTTACTTTTAAAATTTATTTTACATTACTTTTCCTAACCATATTTCGCATCCAATATTAGCAACTGTCTACTTTTATTTTAATCGTATTGAAACATTGATAAATTGTCAGTGTTTGGATAATAATAACATGTATTCTTTAAGGTGATTGTGGATAAAGGTGATTGTAGGTGTTTCTACTTTAGAATCTTAACTGTTTACTTTAGAATCTTATCTACTTTAGATTCTTTAAGGTGATTGTAGGTGTTTCTACTTTAGAATCTTAACTGTAATATTTGTAAATTGTGCATGTAATAATATCTTAATTTTTGAAATTTCAAGAATGATTTTTTGTTTCTGGATTTATATAAAAGAAAAATTTGTAACAATTTCATTATTTAAAGCCACGAATATCTTTTAACAGCATCATCTTCAATTCCTCTTCTCAGTAGTAAATTTTTAGAATAGTTCTTTAATTAAAGCTGACAGTTTTTCTATTTGAAGGATAATTTGATTAGTGTTGAAAAATACACATTGTCTGCCACCATTTCTCTATAGGAATGGTGCTTCGTACGTGTGTTAAATAAATGAAAGAGAAACTGCTTGTAATTAGTTACATATAATGCTACGTATGATTTTCTCCTCAACAGTTTTTTTTGTTTGTATTTTAAAATTTTTTTTGTGAAATTCATATTAAGCATCCTTCTATCTGGAGCTAGTCAAAAAATATATGGGTAAAAAATAGTGCATTTAAGTTATTATTAACATAAATATCTGCATTATTGAATGAATTAGGTTTGCTGATAAAATCTCGATGTAAATAATCAAAAGTCCCAAAATAATATAATGTGAAACCAATTTTTCAATTTTTTCTTCAGGTATTGCTGCTTTACTAATTTAAGATCTGTCTGAAAGATTAAGTCTGAAATAAATGGGAAATATACTTTTCCCTCTTTATGCAGTTTAGCTGATGAAAAATCCTGAATAAAACCTTTGTGTGTACTTTAAAGTCTGTTGTTAAAATTAGTCTTCTCTCTTAATACATATTTTATTATGGATTAGGTGCTTTTGTAGTTATCATAAAATAATATTTTGCCAATAAATGTATGTATGCCTACATATTGCAAATTCGTCGTAAACCATTGGCGTGCTCTAATCATTTTTTTCGGAGTATTTGATATGTTTTTGTTGTTTTTGGAATTCACTGAACAGTTATGTGGTGATATACAATTCCATTTATTGCTTTTTATTCAAAGATATTGTTTTAAAGCAGTATTAGAGGCAATAGCTAAGTAATATTTTCAAGAAAATAAGCAGTTAACTGCTTGACCACTACCACATCCATAGAAGTGATACATATATAGTATCTGACCTTTAAAATTTGTATAGGGCCTACCAAATCTTCGGGTCTTGTAATGAATGTTGCCAGTGAGTTGCCAAGTGATAAAACTATTGAACATTGGCAGTTTGGAAACTGTTAGTTTTCAATGAATCAGCTTCAAATGTTGGAAAAGGTCTTTTATGTAACATGGGAATTTTTCATGGTTTTTGCAATGTGGAACATAACCACTAGTTTCTCTTGGATCTCTCATATTTTAATTTTTTAGCTTTTAAAAAAGGAAAAAGGGCTTAAGAAAATGCTTTCGTGCCATAAATGAAGTTTATTGAAATTTAAATTGTACAAATTACATTATTCCACCCAAAGTAAATTTTGGAGTAATTTTTCTTATTAAATTATGTAATTTATATAATTTATTTTATATCACATTTTATGACCTGTTTTTGTTACATTTCTTTATTTTAAATTTTTCCTATTAAAATTTCTTGTGATCTGAACTATCTCATATAGTATAGACATATGAAGTATCAAGCTTGACTTCAATGCGTAGTACCAAAATGGGACAGTCCATTCTACTGGGCCGATTGACGAAATTCAACTTGCCTTTTAAATGTCTCGAAAGCACGACTTAAGATATGTACTTTGTTTTAATATAGGTGTTTTGACACAAAATCAGACCTTTTCTGTAATAGCATAAAATAATGTATAAATGTAACAGTAACAATGCTATATATACTATATATCCTAAGTCTCGCTTTCAAGACATTAAAAATGCAATTTGAATTTTGTCAATCGGCCCAGTAAAATGGAAGATATAAAAGTATCCCCCTTTTTTTGTGCAGTGTACCTTATAAGGATTGTTCACACAAATACTAATTACATCACAAAGTCCGCTTTACGCATGCACATTTGATTTTGCTGCCCGTAGATAAAACATGGGCATACGCAGTATCGGCACCGGCACTGAATAATCCTTAAGTATGTATGAAGATTTACTCATTCGGGACTCAGATAAGGCTTAAGCATGTGTAAGAAATAGTCATAAGTATAATACATAATTAAACTAAAACGATCGGCAAGACAATAGAAGCAAGACAAAATTTAGCAGAACAACTTGTCTTGCGTTACCAATATCATGATACATAGCCAGTAATGCATATCAGATGCTTTTAAGCTAAGTTAAAATTATGCTTTACTGATTCGAAGGAATTTCAGCCAATATAGTAGATTGTGCTGTTCCTTAAATATCTGATACAGCTCAATTATTTTTGTAGGCAATTTTTATTACAGTAATATTATGAAAATTAAAGTTCAACTTTCGATCATGTCAAAAAGAGTTTCTAATTCAGGATCTGCAACAGGATCTATAAACCATTAAACAAAATGTGTGGAATTGCTTAAAAAAATGGATAAAGGATAAAAAACGGATAGCTAGATGTTATGCAGGGATTATGGCATTGGAAAGTTAACTGTGTATGACATAAGAAAACAGAAAAAGGAACTTTTTAAATTTTTAGTGGATTCAGACACCCTGCAGAATAACAGAAAAATTATTCGTTATGCTAAAAGTGAAGATCATGACAAAGTAATAATTGAATAGACCAAACAGCTTTGCAGCGAGGCCATGCCATTGACGAGTAAAATGCTAATGGCGCAAGCTAAAATATTTCACAAAGAAATCAACTTAAAAACTGAGTGCACGTATTCGACAGGATGGTTAACCAAATTGTAAAAATTGCCGTTGTGCAATTAAAAATTTCAGTTAAAATAGCTTCAGCTGATACTAAAGCTGCTGAAATATTTTCAGATGAACTCATCAATAGTTAAAAGTTAGCTCCAGAAGAAATTTACAATGCTAATGAAACTAGTCTTTTCTGGCAATATGTACCCCAGAATACCTTGGCAAACTCTATAGAAAAGGCTCCAACTCGTGTTAAAGATTCCAAAGCTAGACTGGCATTTTTTGAATGCTCAAGTGTCAACTTTTCGTAATCAGAAAAAAAGGAGTAAAGACTTTCCCCGTAATATATTGTGCAAATAAAAGAACACTAATTACACAAGTGTTGATGAATGATTGGTTTGA